GTTAGAACAAATGCTGTGAAATGACCTCAGATCACTGTTTTCAAGCAAGAAAACCAGTACTCAAATCAATCAGTCATCTTCACCACAAATAATGTCGAACCAGCAACATTTTGGAAGCCTTGGTAATGTAATGGCTAGATGTTTGCTTGCCATTCTAAAGATCGAGGGTTCAATTCAATGGTCGATTTGAAGAAAAAATTGACCTTAGCTTCCAGGTTGACCCAGCCTAAAATGTGTCCCAGGTAATGTCCTGGGAAGTAAAGGTGGTGACCACATCACCCTTTGAGGGCCAACTGTTTACAAAAATATAAGTCCAACATTCTATGCTCCACTGACCTGAACAGGGTCTTTACTTACTTTACAACAAAACATAGTCGTTTGTCTTTCTGGTGACAGCCTCTGACAGACTGTTGTTTGCCAGTCTTATCTTTCTACTGTAACACAGATTGTCTTGTAAGCTCAGCAAAGAGAAACTGATACCTTTACCACTTCCAGAAAATCTTAAATCAAGGATCAAAACAGTCCTTCGCTTTGACAGTTTGCCTTATTCAAACTGGCAGTGCAGTGTGTTTAGCTCTGCAAAGATCAATGTTTAGCATACCTGTATCTAATTTTTTCCCCATTATTATATTTGTTTGTGCACTTGTATTTCTTCCCTCTTTTTCTGATTCCTTTTAGGTTTTTATTTCATAATAGCTCTTTACATCCACACTTGTTTCCCTCTTCTGTATTTCTGGTTCTATGTCACCTTTCTAGTCATTTATGATTCTGTGGTTTCTGTCCAGTGACAGACTCTTGTTGAAACATTTGGTCGTATTTGTACTTGCTGTTCCTTTTCCTCCATTGACTTTATAGCCCTAGACTGTGTTGCATTAAATTAACTCTACATAAAAGAGCAAATAATAATGGTCTAATAGAGAGCAAATGATACTCAGCAAGAAAAAGTGCTGCACTTGAGATGCTGGCAGCAAAAGCATACAACAATGTGGAAACAAGATGCAGAGACAGATGTAGAAGAAGATGGACTGAGAGACACTGACAGCCGAAAACTGCACAACATCACAGTATTTAAAGCAACTAGTGCATCCTAGCTCAGCTATAACCTGTTAAAATGTGAGGCCTGGCAGCACAAAGCAGATGCTGACAAAAGGAGAAGACATTTGTGATGCAGCCCAAGTGACTGACAGAAATCAGATGAGCTACTGATTAGCAAACAATAACTTTCTGGCTAACAATATTCCCTCCAAGGTTTTTAGTTACAACTGCAGAAACACACTCACATTCAAAACTGGACTAATGAAATCACTCACTCACAATGAATGTGCATGTTTGTTTTAATTTGTAATACAATGCAACATATTTCTATAACAGAAATACTTTTACTTTCAATCTCTGTTCACATGCGGACCACATCTCATAGAAGGGCAGTGAGGGTGTTAACTTATTCCACAAATTTTAACAACACTGTTACTATATGGTAGTAATAATTATACAAGAATTGATGAATATGGTAAAAATTATCATACATAATAATTATCGAAAACTGAGGTGAACAAGCTGACCTGGTGTACAAGTTACTTTAAGATTCTCAATTCTGCTAATACTTACCTAAAGCATATTATACCTGCCTTATAAGTTGGCCCCTAATTTAAGAAAGATATTTTAAGATTTTTAAACTTTGACTTAAATGCCACAATTTATGGTAATAAATTTACAATGAGAATAAAGCAACTCTGTGAATTTGCAGCGGGAATAATACATACCAACTTGTTGTGTATGGATTATGTGTTTAACTAGAACAGGCTCGTTGGTGGGGAAATTCACCAGATTTAAACATGGCCTGGTTCAACATTCATAGCGAGATCGTGTTGGGCATGGCTTGGTGCAAGGAGGTATGGAGGATGAGAGGAAACACGAGAATAACTGCGTGTATCTTAAGTATCTGAAAATACATGCAGAACTCAAGCAGTGTATATACATAGGCAAGTCTTGCAGAGAGTTAAGTTGAGAAAGCGGGATACAAGCAAGGCAACCATTCAACTTGTGAGGCAGTGCATGTTCCTCATTGATGTCTGGTTACTGATTGTGTATCGATGAGACTCAGTGATTGACAGTCTGGCCAGTTCACTGTAGAATTCCTTGGCATTGGCTGACTTGTGGCCGTGTGCAGGTCGCGGAAACTTTGAGTGTTGCAGAAGTTTCCAGTCAGTCAAAATTGACGTGCCTATTTAATGTGCTAGATTAATCGTGATTCAGCTTGGTAAGAGAAGTGAAGTGTGTTCAGTCTTACTACTAGTTTGTAGGGGTGGGCTGATCAGCGGTCATAGGCACAGAAGCAGTTTTGGCTTGAGAGCTAGGATAGGCAGCAAGGGTGAGGCTGTGTTGTGAAGCACTGCTAGAAACTGCTACAAGAAGCAGAAGCATAGGATTTTAGCTACTGTTGTCCATTATGTTAACATGACATTAGTGCTTGCTTCATAATTCATTCTCTATGTGTGAGAGTTGGTGGACACACACATCTTGTTGAATAAATACTTGTTATGGTGAACTGCTGGTCAAGTTATTGTGGACTGTGTGTCGCTCATAGTGTGAACAAAAATTATTAATTGGACACTTGGCATGTGTGCTCGATTCATTCACCCCAATTTAGCATGCAACACACCTGAAGAATTTATTTGATAATTAAATCTATACAATTTGATATCAATAAATGAACAGATAATTTAACAAGTAATAACTGAAAAAAGAATGAGTGGACTTACACTATTTATACATACATTAAAAAATCCTGAGCATTTCATAATCTGATGTGTTATATAATTAAACTTAGATAACAATAACATGTATTAAAGTTAAAGATTCTAGCTGGATGTTTCAAAAACATAAATTGTCATAATGATACGAAACAGGTTTAGAAGAGAACAGAACAAGTTGAGGATGTTGTGTGGAAATTATGTTTTAGAAGATATTACATTTGGTGAAGAAAAGACACAGCTTTCTAATAATCTCTACTTCTGATAGAAGATGTACAGAGTAGTTACTGGCTGGTTCTGTAACTACTGTGGACCAATAACAACATCATCACAAATCAGCACATAATGTCTGATGTGGTTAACATCATCACAAATCAGCACATAATGTCTGATGTGGTTAACATCATCACAAATCAGCACATAATGCGTGTTAATGTGGGATGTGGTTAACATCATCACAAATCAGCACATAATGTGGGATGTGGTTAACATCATCACAAATCAGCACATAATGTCTGATGTGGTTAACATCATCACAAATCAGCACATAATGTGTGATGTGGTTAACATTATCACAAATCAGCACATAATGTGTGATGTGGTTAACATCATCACAAATCAGCACATAATGTGTGATGTGGTTAACATTATCACAAATCAGCACAAATGTGGTTAACATCATCACAAATCAGCACATAATGTGTGTTAATGTGGGATGTGGTTAACATCATCACAAATCAGCACATAATGTCTGATGTGGTCAACATCATCACAAATCAGCACATAATGTGTGTTAATGTGGGATGTGGTTAACATCATCACAAATCAGCACATAATGTGTGATGTGGTCAACATCATCACAAATCAGCACATAATGTGTGATGTGGTCAACATCATCACAAATCAGCACATAATGTGTGATGTGGTTAACATCATCATAAATCAGCACATAATGTGTGATGTGGTTAACATTATCATAAATCAGCACATAATGTGTGATGTGGTTAACATTATCATAAATCAGCACATAATGTGTGATCTGGTTAACATTATCACAAATCAGCACACAATGTGTGATGTGGTTAACATTATCACAAATCAGCACATAATGTGTGATGTGGTTAACATTATCATAAATCAGCACACAATGTGTGATCTGGTTAACATCATCACAAATCAGCACACAATGTGTGATCTGGTTAACATCATCACAAATCAGCACATAATGTGTGATCTGGTTAACATCATCACAAATCAGCACATAATGTGTGATCTGGTTAACATCATCACAAATCAGCACATAATGTGTGATCTGGTTAACATTATAACAGCAACCTTTTTTTTTAACCGGGATACTAACTGGTGCCCATGTTCAACATGGGAGCCAAGATTACATTTTTGAAGAAATAAATTCTGTTACCATGTGGTTTTGAACCCAAGATCTTTGGGCTAACAGGTGAGCAGCTAGTCAGTACACTACCATGGCTCCCTCTCAAGTTGTAGGAATGTTTTTGCTTTTTTCCCCTTGACTTCTGGACATATGGCAGATAATATGGTAAAAATTTGCGACAAGTGTACAAGTCCATTAAACATATATATTTTATGTTTGTTTAAATTACTAGCAGATACATGAAATACTTATCAGACAAACTGGCGCACGCACACAATGCCAATTTCTTATACCACAAATATTACAAATGGAATTTATCAGTGTGACCTATCTCTTTGAGTTCTGGACTCATGCAAATCCAATTATTTTTCATTTCAAAGTTGTAGCACTTTAAATATTTTCACATGTTAATTTATTTAACTAAAATGGCTGTCAGACAAAAGAAGAAATAAAAATTTGGATATAACAAATCAAACAAAAAAAGAAGAATGGAGCAAAAGATGTTCAAAAATGTATATGTGCTATGTGGGTTCTAGAGCCCCATTTTGGAGCAAACAAGGGCCCCATTTTGGAGCAAACAAGGGCCCCATTTTAGAGTGGAAAAAAAAGCAAAAAATCAGAGTTCTACAAAACTACAATATGATGTTTCAACAGCTCCTTTTAAGGGTGAACACAGAAAAAAAAAAAAGAAATAAGAAAAAAGAAGAAATTTATAAGTTGAAACAGTTACCAATAAATTTGTGATAAGTATTTGGTAATTAAAGATGTTGAAAAAAAAAAAAAATCAGCTTGCATTTACATAAAAATATGTTCTATCACAGAAGATTAATGACAACAGTATATTTATTTGTACTCTTCTATGCAGACGCATCAAAGAATTTGTCCAGCAAAGCTGCCACATCTGATGGCTGGTATTTGATGTACTTGTTCTTGTTCTTACTAAAATTCAGGTTGCAGTATTTGTTATAGAATAAAGTGTATCGAGGCACCATGTACTCTTTGTTTTCTGCAACCAGGGAAGCTCTGAGTTCACTGTCTGGCATAGCGTAGGTTTTCTGAACTCTGAAGATTTCTTCGAGCTCCTTATTAAAGCCCTGGAAAAAAAGATTTGTCTTTAGTGAAGGTTCCAACATAAACTGTAGATGTGTTTCATGTTAGTCAAGGTTCCCACATAAACTGCAGATGTGTTTCATGTTAGTCGAGGTTCCAACATAAACTGCAGATGTTTTTCATGTTAGTCAAGGTTCCTACATAAACTGTAGATGTGTTTTATGTTAGTCAAGGTTCCTACATAAACTGTAGATGTTTTTCATGTTAGTCAAGGTTCCTACATAAACTGCAGATGTTTTTCATGTTAGTCAAGGTTCCCACATAAACTGTAGATGTGTTTCATGTTAGTCAAGGTTCCTACATAAACTGCAGATGTTTTTCATGTTAGTCAAGGTTCCTACATAAACTGTAGATGTTTTTCATGTTAGTCAAGGTTCCTACATAAACTGTAGATGTTTTTCATGTTAGTCAAGGTTCCTACATAAACTGCAGATGTTTTTCATGTTAGTCAAGGTTCCCACATAAACTGTAGATGTGTTTCATGTTAGTCAAGGTTCCTACATAAACTGCAGATGTTTTTCATGTTAGTCAAGGTTCCTACATAAACTGTAGATGTTTTTCATGTTAGTCAAGGTTCCTACATAAACTGTAGATGTGTTTCATGTTAGTCAAGGTTTCTACATAAACTGCAGATGTGTTTCATGTTAGTCAAGGTTCCTACATAAACTGCAGATGTGTTTCATGTTAATCGAGGTGCCTACATAAACTGCAAATGTGTTTCATGTTAGTCGAGGTTCCTACATAAACTGCAGATGTGTTTCATGTTAGTCAAAGTTCCTACATAAACTGCAGATGTGCTTCATGTTAGTCAAGGTTCCTACATAAACTGCTGATGTGTTTCATGTTAGTCAAGGTTCCTACATAAACTGCAAATGTGTTTCATGTTAGTCAAGGTTCCCACATAAACTGCAGATGTGTTTCATGTTAGTCAAGGTTTCCACATAAACTGTAGATGTGTTGCACTATAAGTGCTCCATACCTATGCCAGTGGAAACCACATGAAATGTCAGATTTAAAAATCAGTCAAATACTTGTCAGTCTTAGCAAAATCTTGAAGCTTGCACATGCAAAGTGAAAACAGATAAGGCATCTGTGTGATTTCAGTCCCAAAAAAAGACGGTATTGCACCTGCAAAAGTTCTGTATGTAATCGTCCACCCACCATTTTAGTGCAGTTAACAACATGCCGCAGGAACAACAGAAAAAATATTCCACAAGAAACCCACAGCTCACAGTGTTGCACAACTGAAATATATATATTTTATGAAAACAACAGAGCTGAGCTGGATAAAGAACCACCGTTACACCACTCCGGACATTTCCATAAACATCCTATCCCTACCTTCAGCAGTCAGATGATACCAATTTGGCAGTATATCTGTCTTGCCTTTCCCATGAATGGTAAGTGAGCCAGGTCCCTTTTCACTCTCTGCTGCATTATTCTCTTCAAACAACAAATTCCTTTTATTTAAAATGAGTTATTTCCAGAGCTACAGAGTGCAATAATAACACCAACAAAAGACTAGAAAAGAAAAGATACATACTGTAAACTTGTCCTTGATGTTTTGTCTCTCCTTGTCTTTTAACTGAAAAGGGGAAACAATAATTAATGTTAGTCCAGTAAGATTCAGTGTATGTTATAAACATTTAAAACATGTCACTTTCAAGTGCTGAAGAGTTATGTTTGGCATGTTCTGCTGTAAGACAGGAAATCTTGGAATGTTACTGAACAAATTGGAAAGTGCTTGGAGGTTGTGGAGATCTGGTTTCTGTAATGAATACATTATGGAAGCCTTCACAGAGGCTAGATGCTCACCTTCCATCCTGAATGTCTTTTGGTTCAAATCCTCCTCAAGGTGGGCTTGTTTCAGAACTAAACTTGGCTCCTAGGCTGACCCAGCCTACAATGGATACCAGGTAGGAAGTGTCGTGAGAAGTAAAGGTGGCTGACTATGACACTGATCACATCACCCCTCGAGTTGAATGATCTATCAAAATATGAGTCAAGCATCATATGTCTCATGCATCACAAGCATGAAAAGTGTTTGTTACTCTAAAACTCAAAAATAAAGTTAAAAAAAACTGTTTAAATTTATCATTAAATACACTTATGTTGTGGGAACTCTCTCACTGACATGTCTTACTCCAATGTAAAAAAAAAAAAAATTTATGACAATGACTATTTTACATTGTCTTGTGTCCTGTTTTAAACTGTCTCAAACTGTTCTAGCTATGAATGCAGGTTGCTAGTGCATGCATAGACAGAATTTATATTCACTGCAAGTTATGAGGTGAGTCAGCTTTAATGCACTGCAGGCACGTCCAAATGTTCTGATTTCCTTCTCAATATATTTATATGTCCAAATGCTAATAGTGCCAGTTCTATGCTGGTTCACAAAATGTCTTGTTTCGGTGTGCCTTTCAAGCCCAGCTGATCCTCTCTTTATTCCCAGTGCTCACATTTTTAGCAGTGATTTAGACTGTTTAAACTCTCTAACTGGCAGGTATTACTAAGCAGTGTGACTAAACATGTGACGTGACTTACTTTAACATTGTCCTGTGCCCTGTGCTGGGATAAAGGTTTGTCCATCTCCAGAATATAGTGCAAGGCCTTGCTCCAGCTGTGGTAAACGGCACAACAATAGAGAAGATCATCAATACCCTGTTGCTTATGGAGAAAAACACAAAAACATAGGCAATACAGGAAAGTCCTCTTCTTCTTTTCTTCCTTCAGACAAGAAGGCTCCAGGTCTCAAAGAAGACTGTGGTGGGATGCATGACCTATAATGATTCGTACAGCTTGGATTCTAGGCAGAATGCTAACTGGTCAGGCCTGGAATTTCCCTGCTGCATGTGACAAGTATGTCAGGAACTCCTCTTTTTTAAAGTATCACTTCTGTATCTGCTCCAGTCTCCTCCCATAAATCACACAAAGAGAATCAAGCACACTGCACAAACTTTGCGAGCTTTAAGATTTTGCTGGGACTGATACATTTTTCATTGTTTTTCAAATGGGACAGTGAGGGACATTTTGGTATCATCTCCACTGTCACAGGGACAGAACAGTTATAGGGAGACCCCCTCCAGTGAGGTTTGCAACCTCGACTAGTGACTAATGACTGATCAGTCTGGATCTCCAGGTTCTCCAGGACTTGACCAGTGTGGCACGGGATTCAGGTCATGCAGCCTCAGAAACCCATGCACACAGTGACTCAGTGGTTCTCACGCTGAAACCCCTTGAAGTGGGACTTTTTTAATGACTACATGGATCATGTCTCTATCTACATCTGTCACTACTGTCTGCCTTACCACTTTTTAGGGCAGTGTCTACATCTGCAAGTTATATAAAACAGAAGAGGTACCGCTGTGAATATTCCAGTTCCTGCTCACATGTTGGACTGTTGTAAAAACCATAATGGAGAGAAAAGATTCAGGCAAGCGAGCAAGAAGTATGCAGCGACAAATGTTGGAGAATTATGTCAAAGTGATGGATTGGATGAACAGCAATCTGGGAGATAGTATGGACATCCTAGGCAGCCAATGTTTACTGTGGCGATGGCACCTCTCTGATTAAAAAGTCTGGAATCAAATCTACATATGTATTATAAAACAGAAGAGATACCTTTGTGAATACTCCCGTTTCTGCTCCAATATTTGACTGTTGTAAAAGTCTGCTATATCTTTATTCCATGCACTCAACAGCTCTAGCAGCCCTGATCTGAAAAATAAATCAGATGATATACACTCCACTGCAGACAATGTTCATGCAGTAGTGATCACTTTCAACAGTAATGACAAGCAGTTATTATCTCATTGGCTGAAGTCTGTTTCTGAGCCAGTGAATCTCACTCAAGTGTTGCCAGCCTGTAGTCAAGAGCTTATCTGGTCATCGTGACAAAGCTGCTCAGCATATTTGTTAGCACTGTATTTATGCTGAATTACTATTCTAAAGTATTAATTTACCTCACAAATACTGGACAAATTATCATTCTAAAGTATTATTCTTATGCTAAACTACTACTGTAAAGAGGTCAAAGGCGCTGGACTGGATTCCATCCACGATTTTGAAAGTAATGCACAGGATAACCGCACAACAGAATGATAGTGGTAAATTACTCTTCTAGTAACTACTTTTTTTAAACATTAAATTACTATTAAAAAGTACTTTTTTTTTAAACACTGAATTGCTATTTTTAACTCTTTTGGTACCAGAAGCTTTCACAGGAGATGCCAAAGCAAAAGAAATGACCATGATGAAAAATCACTAATGCATTACTTTCAAAAGGGCAATATATATAATGGTTATCACTAATGCAGAAGCCAGATTTCTTTAGTGTCTTCTGTTTAAATGTTGTAAGTATGAGAACATAATATGCTTTAGGGGGGAAATCAAGAGTTAGAGTCACCTACTGTGTGCCAGTTAGTCTATATAAAATTAGCCTATCATAATTTGCCTGACTCGTCATAGGCTTAAACCTGGTCCTTTAACATTTTACATTACCATTAGTATTCTGTAATCAAATAACATGTAATGCTGTGTTATCACAATCGACGTCACTGCACATTAGGTGTTCCCAGATGTGGTCAGTCCTCTGATGCAGCAGCCACTCCAAGGTACTTCTGCTAACTGTTCCCATGAGAGGTTGGTTGTAATCAGCGTTGACAATAACTGTCCTATCCATGCTTCTTCCCACATGCATTGGTGCATTGCTTGCCAGCTAGTCTGCTCGGTCATTTCCTTTACGCCAGCAACATGATCCTTGAATATCTTACATTACCATTAGTATTCTGTCCAGATTTTGGTTCCTAGCAGTGGCAGGGCTGCATATTTTCCAACCAGTGGAGCTCTAAATGACCTTGACCTCAGGAACAAGGCTACCAGGCTTAGGTTTAGGTTTAAACAATGAATCAACATCATGGCACAATTGGTAGGAACCCATAAGTGATCCGTTATACTTCTAACTCAAGTCTAAGTCCGAAGAATTTCAGTGCAGTGCACAATCTCTGTAGCACCGGCGAGGATCCTGAAAAACTTTGGGAAGATTTTCAACTCCAAATTTTGCCCAGGCAGCACCGTTAGGCTACTCTTGTCAATTTCCAACTGCCAAGGGATTTTTTTTTACGTGCAATACACTCGGGCATCTGATCTTAACTGCCAAGAGACCAGGGAATTTTACTAAAACTCCACCTGAAAATATCCCAGCTTTCACAGGAGCTTGAACTAGGGACCTCCAGCATTCTAGGCAGACGCCATACCTCGAGACCACACAGCTCCCAGAGATCTGGCAGAGGACAGCTAACCAGTTAACTACTGACCACACCCTAGCTCTCTGGCTGCAGCATAACACTGCGTCCCAAAAATGTCATAGTGGTGTTGAACCAAGTGCTAATACACTATTTAAAAAATGAATATATAGCTGGATTTATGATATCAGGGAGCTGTTGTAGCATAGTGGCTGGATTCCTGTCTGTCAACCCAAGGTGTTGAGTTGGACTTTTTCATGTTTTTTTTTTTCAAAAGTGGCCTTAGATTCTAGTTCAACCCAACCTAAAATGGGAACCAGATAACATCCTAGGAAGTACAGGCAGCCAACGTGATATTTACCACATCGCCCACCAAGTGCTGAAGGACATTAAAAAATACTGAGTTTAGGATCATATGTTCAATGCATCACTGGTATTACAAGGTTTTTTTTTTTACCTAATTTTTTATTTTTTAATATCAACATTCAGGAAGGACAATGAGCTGCCAAGAGATAAACAATACCACATCAGAACATGACTGGAGAGTTATCTACCTGGTCAAAGACTTGATTATGTAGTTGAAATTATTCAACATGAACACAGGCCTCAAGGCGGGATCGCTGTAGGTCTCAGCTTTGTTGCTGAGGTTTAATCCTAGGGCTGACAACACTCGGGCTGAAAATTGAACCAAACACTTTTGAAACTCAAGTTTTAAAACAGCTATGGAAAATGTGGCTATTCTCCCAATAACGGGTACGAAAAGATGGCGGCCGCAAAATATCCTGACGAGCTTCAGTCACGTGTCAATTGCGCACTTGCGGTCACGAGCACATCGTGTGAAAACTAGGATTAGTGTCTGTTGACAATTTCGAGAAACGGAACAAACCGTCGAGTTAAACTCGCCGCCGAGAGTCTCCCCGCGCCGCTACGCGCGGCACGGATGGGGCTAAACTAGATGGCTGGGACCCACGAGCAGCAGCTTTCGCATCTCCTGCAGCTTTGCTCGTGAGTCCTAGCCATCTATCTTAGCCCCAATCCACGCCGCGTGAGTGGCGTGGGAGCTACTCTCGGCGGTGGCAGTAGTCGCCGGAAAACCGCAAATTATGTCGCCGGAAGTGCGCAATTGACACGTGACTGAGGCCTTGTTTTTGGCCGCCATCTTTTGTGCCTGTTATTCGGAGGATAGCCGGTTTGTGGATGGTACTAAAAAGAAAGGTGTGTTACCAATGCGGCACGAGCCGCGCCTTGTTCCGATCGTACTTAGCCGAGTTTCAATGGCGTAACAGCCACAAACAGCAGATTTTCGGGCACTTTTTACAACTTCTGTGCCATAATTTCCAGACATAAAAGCATAAAATTATCTTTAAGTAGTCGATTTGATAAAACATTTTTTTCGTTCTTTATTAGTTTGGACTTCAATTTTTGAATGTTTACAACACATGACACGTGACTGAGGCTCGTCAGGATATTTTTCGGCCGCCATCTTTCGTGCCCGTTATTCGGAGGATAGATTGGCTGCTACCACTCCTCTGGGTGGCGAGTTACTTCAAGATAAAGTAGACAGGCTGAATGCTCTCTGAGATAAAGTGTGAAGCAGACAGAGTATCCCCATACTGAAGATTGAATCAGTGAGAAGTAGGCAAAGTCTTAACAGTTTTCAGCACGCAGAGGAAAAGAAAGGCAGACTTTTAATCAGGTTGCAAGTAGCTTTATCAATATGAGAACTCTTTACTGGCTATTTAAGAAGGGGATAAAGCACACATGTGAATGCTCAGGGTCCAGTGATCTCAATTCTTGATTTATTCATTCATAGAATATTCTTGTAGTAAATGTTTATTTTTATGTATAATTCATTATATAGTAGGTTTGCTTGTACTCATAATACTATGCCAGGAAAAACTGTCAATCTTTCTGTAGAGCCTCAGAGATGTGGTTTTAAAGAAAAAAGCTGAAAGCACAGAATAGTTCATATAAGAAATTGTAATCTTTTAAAAGAGAATAAAATTAAAAAAACAACTTCAGAGATAAACTATGATAAAATGATGACAAACATCTCAATGGAAGCACCAACACTGCGTGGCCACATTATAGAAAAACGAGAACTTGCTATGACAGCTGGAAAGATAAATAGAAAATCAGAAGACAGTGTCAGAAAATCCTGGACAGCCTTTCGCTAGAGCATGGAAACATTTTAGTATGTTTTAAGCAATACAGTGTGGGTTCCAGTGTCTCATTGTTGGGGGAAGAGAACAGACTCTTTGTACTAACCTCTACACAATGTGCAAAGTGTGAATACAGTAGAAGAATACATGTGAAAGGAACCATGTCTGCTTAACCTACATGCAAATGCTGTAGAGATTGGTCCTGGCTGACCAACGACTGTTGGAAGTTCTAAGCTAAAGAAAAACATGATTGTTGGAAAACATTTGTGGATGAAAATGGCTTATTTAACTTTTAAAACATAAGCACACAATTTGTGTACATTTTCCTGGCGTAGCAGTCAGAATATATGGTATACAAATCAAACTGCAGGTAACATGCTGCTACTAAATTACCGATTTAATACTCTTGATAAATCATTGAGTAATCTAATCATAAAATTACAGCTATATTTTTGTCTATCAATTACAGATGTGACATTTCTATAAAGTTACTGGTGTAACATTCCTGTAAAATTACTGTAAAGTAATGATGACAAAGTGTAGCTCTGTGGCTTACAGGTTAGTGAATGTGTTTGACAATGTCAGCAGCTTCATGCAATAGAGTTCAATTTCTGCAGCAAATGGTTCATTAAAAAAAAAAAATAGTCATTCTCATATGTAGTCAATCCTCCGATGCAGTAGCCACTCCAAGGTACTTCTGCTAACTTTTTCCCATGAGAGGTTGGTTGTAATCAGTGTTGATGATAACTGCCCTGTCCATGCATGCTTCTTCTTACATGCATTGGTGCATTGCTTGCCAGCTAGTCCGCTCGTTCATTACCCTTTACGCCAGAATGACCAGGTATGTAGATCCGGGTGAGGGAGGTTAAGTGCAACTGTCTAATGCTGTCTACCCATTCAGAGCGAACACCACCTGTTGCTATCAAACAACAACACAATGCTCTCATGGTACAACCACCACACTAAGGAAAAGCCTAGGGCCTCACCATATAATAAAACAGCAGCAGTTATACTATATACAGCCAACATTCATTGTAAAGGCACACAAATATTTTTAGTTATGACCATATCAATTTTCATTTAGAAAACAAAATGTTTTATAAATGGTTACACTTTACAGAAAACACAGGTATCTGAGGTACTTGAACCTACTCATGTAATCAGCCAATTTGTTCCTGCAGTTTTCTGGGGTAATCAACGCTGATGGGTTTGACTTCTCACCTGGCAATTTCATAAACTGTCATTAATGTGTGCTTACAAATAACTATAAACAATACAAACATTAATCTACCCTTACAAACACTTCACAATTACTGTATAAATAAAATTCTATTCTATTCACAATTAGAATAATTTGATCCTAAATGTATGCATATAAACAATCAATCTTCAACTTTTGATCATAAATTATTCAAATTATCAATTATATGCCTGATCTGCTAGTGGCAAAAACAGAGGCTTTTACTTTATTTTATATGTGCATATCACACAGCTTCTCACTACCTACATTGTATCCTTTGTTACAACTAACTTGGTGCACAGTTAGTCAGTTTGGTAGGTATATCAATATCTATGAATACCATCTTTTTACATTAACTTTTTCAGTTCATAGCAACTTGTCAGACATTTATTGATTACTTCATAAATGGTAAACATTTCTTAACTCATTCTATTGAGTTTGTAACAATGAATCAGTCTATTCCAAGTGTTATTTGAACATATTCTGTCACAAAGTTATAAATAAATTATTTAACATGTTTATATTTCTCCCCCTTTTTTTCTTTCAAAATGCCTTAGAATTTTTTTGTTTTGAAATACAGTCTTTTTCCATTTCCCCCACATTATGTATTTCTTGGTTTCATGTAGGCCATGGCTGTTTAGAAGCTCTGTTTCTTGACCGTTTAGTTTTCCAGTCACAGTTTATGTATTATTTAGTACTCTGTTCATAAAGACTTTGGTCGAAACGTTCAGTCGTACTTGTGCACGTCTTTTCCATTACCTCCACTGAGCTTTCTATTTGCATTTGATGTAGCATTTTTTTCCTTTCTGTCAAATGGTTCTTTTAGTTAAAATCAATAGGACTGATACTCTAATAAACACAAACTTAAAGACAGGCATCATAAAAGTAACATCAGACTTAGACTGAAAGAGCTGAATAGGCACGTAATATGGGGCACAACAGACAGATAATATGGGACACAGCAGACAGATAATATGAGACACAGCAGACAGATAATATCGGACACAGCAGACAGATAATATGGGACACAGCAGACAGATAATATGGGACACAGCAGACAGATAATATGGGACACAGCAGACAGATAATATCAGACACAGCAGACAGATAATATGGGACACAGCAGACAGATAATATCAGACATAGCAGGCAGATAATATGGGAGACAGCAGGCAGATAATATCGGACACAGCAGACAGATAATATTGGTCACAGCAGACAGATAATAGGGGACACAGAAGACAGATAATAGCGGACACAGCAGACAGATAATATCAGACACAGCAGACAGATAATATCAGACACAGCAGACAGATAATATCGGACACAGCAGACAGATAATATCAGACACAGCAGACAGATAATATCGGACACAGCAGACAGATAATATCGGACACAGCAGACAGATAATAGTGGACACAGCAGACAGATAATATCAGACACAGTAGACAGATAATATCAGACACAGCAGACAGATAATATCGGACACAGCAGACAGATAATATCAGACACAGCAGACAGATAATATCGGACACAGCAGACAGATAATATCAGACACAGCAGACAGATAATATCAGACACAGCAGACAGATAATATCGGACACAGCAGACAGATAATATCAGACACAGCAGACAGATAATATCGGACAGAGCAGACAGATAATATCGGACAGAGCAGACAGATAATAGCAGACACAGCAGACAGGAGAAGAATCAGAAAACTTTACAACGAGCAGCAAAGACTATCCAAGATTGTTACCATGCATCAGTAGCATAGCACCAGCAGTCTCTGCATACTCCAGGAGCTGCTCCAGAAATATGATAGTCTGTGGAGGGATCAAAAGCAAATGAAAAAATGAGAAAGTATGTATTCAGTTTCTAGACCAATGTTTCCCAAACTGTTCTTAGTCGCTGCAACTCTTTTCAATTAACATTTTTTCATTGCGCCCTAACCTTAATAAAAGTATGACTATTCGTATGTAAGAGATTGAAAAAAAAAACTTGTGTATCTTCAAAATTTTCCAGTGCCCCTGTGAAGAGGTCGCCCCTCCCCAGGGCGCCAGGGCACAGTTTAGGAATCACTGTTCTAGACTGTTGAAAGATTTCCACCTTTCTAGAGAGTGTTATTTTGAGCTATAGTGAGGCATGGGAAAAGGTATACTGTCATAGAAGTAGGTTATACAGAATTAGGAGTGTAAAAAAGTCATAAATGAGTTATACTGTCAGCGAATTTAATACGCTTTGCACAAAAGTTTGTGAGGAAAAATGTGGGCCATTACTTTCTGAATGCCCCTTGTATGACGTATATTATGATACTGTATAATTTTATTTCTAAACTCTACGCAAATGGCATCTGATGAAAAAGTAGAAAGAAAAGAAGGGAGTGGGAAGCGGACATGTTTACTGGTGTGAAGAAATCTGCTAACGTACTTACATGGTTGGCTAGCTCATGAACTGTTCCATCTTTTGGCATTGTTGTAGATTTATCATTCTGGATATCAAACAGGGAATAAATCAACAAAAGAAAAAGGTTGAGAGGGGCAGCTTATAAGAATATAATCACAGTTACAGAGTGGATTTAGCAGAAGAAAGCCTTTATCAGCAAAACAAGAAGCAAAAACAACGGATACAAAACTCAGTACCAAGCTATTGTTACTTTAACCCTCACAGTCTGTGATAGAGCAAAACAAGAACCTCGATTTATCTTTGGAAACACAAAGAAACATAAGATAAGTTGTTTAGTTATGAAAAAGTTTAACAGCTGATCGATCGCTCGCATGCACGCACGCACACATGCACACACATACACTACAATACACTTCAAACAGTTGTATTTAACTTGACAACAAAAGTCAATATATCTTCCTTCTCAGGGAAAAAAATCTTCTGGCTCATCCAAACATAAAAATCTGGGTGTAAAACAACATGACTACTTCACTGTTTTTAGCTGTCAACAAAATTCTAAAAATCGGTAGTTCTTAAGATGCAGCTTCATATAACCTTTTCACTATTTATGAGAAAGTCATTCTGATGTGTCTAGAAGTGCGTGACCCAAAGGGTGCATTTTAAATAACATCTGGAATTATAATTTATTACTGTCAAAGTAACACCTATACATCTACATGGATTAATTTTACAACTGAATTCTATATGTCTTCTTTACTTGCTTATTTTTACTTGCATCCCAAAATTAATGTCCTTATTAACAGCACTAGTTAATTTATTTTAGGTTTCTGACATTTCTGTCCTGGTTTTTTTTTTTTCATTGCGTCTTGTTCGCAATTGACAAATTATGACCTAATTTTCTTGCCTTGAAAGTTAACAATAAGCATCGTTTTTCATGTCAGTCTTTCATCAACTTTTTAAGTCCCAGCAGGTTTAGCATCACAGGCTCAATAGGTAGTCAAGAGAGGCATAAAAACAGCACATACTGAATTCATTGGGCTTCTGGGTAGGAACATATAAACGTATGGTGAGTTCCTTGGGACTGAAAGAGTTGATTCTGTAACTTAATAAATCAAACAAATGCTTCTCCGTTGTACACTTGAACAAAGAAGACACAAACAATACAATGTATAATTTACCGCCTGTCATATTTTGGTTTTTTCATTAGGTGCATACTCCAGTAACAAAAGAACGAACGAAAGAAATTTATTTACAAAAGCCAAAATAAGTCATTCTCACCCAGATTTATGCTGACAATAAAGACATATGTGAACCTGTATTTGCCCTGGTAAAATAGGCAGTGTACTTGATTTTGTATCCAGTTATGAGATTCATTTATTTAGTGAAGTCAGTAATGTAAACGACCCTTTTTCCACACTCACAGGTGTACTGGGCATATGGTGCTAGACCTATATTGTACAGACAAATCGACACTCGGGTCATGTGGTTAATATCCCACAGCCCGCTTTTACTTCCCAGGACATTACCTGGTGCCCATATAAGGCTGTGTCGATTTGAGAACCAAGGTCATTTTTGAGAAAAGTCTGGCTCCATTCAAATTTGAAAATTTATTTATTTGCTTCATCAGTTTCAATGGTTACTGTGTTGTGCACTTGACAAGATGCAGAGAAATTGTCCAGGAAATAAATTGTTTTTACTTTTCAGTAAGCTGATTTAAATAATTTTCTTGTGCATTTATAATATTTAGTAGCAACAGAAAAGTGTGATAAGATTTACAATTATAAAAGTGGCATCTTAACCAAAATAAAAGAAACCAAGTTATAAGTTGTACTATACCCGGATGCTGTCCGTAAACTCCTCCAAGGCCTTGGCTCCCTGAAACAACATCATTATTTTGTTATTTACAATGCATAGTAGGTACAAATAAACACAGATTTCACGACAAGATGCTTAAAGACCAACAGCTTTAATTTGAAATCAACATAGCAATTTATTATTCACCTAAAAAAAAAAATCTCATTAACCTTTACAAACAACTCAGTTAAACCAGAAAGAACTAAGTTAAACTCTATTTAAAAGATAGTTAATCTAGGGGGGGGGGGAACTCAGTTACTTTCTTCAAAGTTGTGAAATAATAGCATCTGTCTAACATTCATACAGCTAAACTCTAGAAATTGGTTCAACTCCAGAAATAACACAAATTTCTAGAAATTACATATATTTATATACAAATGCTAAGCAAGACAAATACTGAAAACAAGAAAATTACACTAAACATGCTCTACCGCACAACAGAGCGGTGCCATTACACCCTCTACCAGTCATAAACAGTTCTTCTTCTTCTTAGCATTCACCGGCTGTAAAATCTGGTGGAAAGGTCTAGTTCTTCCCAATTCTGAACTTTAGTATTGTTCCAGAGCTTGAGTCTTGGTGTGTCTCCATTATACAGATCTGGCGTATTTATTTGCAGACTGTTGGTTCCTCACATCCCAGGCAACTGTGCTTTGGCTCTGAAAGAAACATCCTTAATCAGATGCCTTTTGATAAATGCTTGGCAGAATCGGTGTTTGATAATGGCGTATGCACAGTTTATGACTGTCTGAAAATAAATGTGTTTGTTCATTTGTTCTAAACCTGCTGACTGGACATTTTTGGGTAAATCTGCACTACAAATTCTGCCGTAAGTGGAAGCCATTAAAATAGTTTTAAAATGAATCAGTGTCCACAAATGTCATATGCAGCTGTTTAGAAGTTGTGACAATTACAGCCATGGTCTCGAACAGTTTGTTCTCCTGTGGATTCCCCAAAGTGGCAGGTGGGGGAGAAAAGACAACCCCCACAACATCAAGCTTGTCACAAAAGGCATCTGAGTAAGGATGTTTCTTTCAGAGCCAAAGCATAGTTGCGTGGGATGTAAGGAACCAACAGTCTGTATTTTACATAAAGCATATTATGTTCACTCAAGATAAATAAAATGACTATAATGTAAAAACGCAAATGCATGGACAGTATATCCATACACAAACATACATACATAAACACAAAAGCATAGACAGTATAGCCACACCTACATACATATATACACTATACATACATACACGCCCACACACACACATAAATATATACAAGGAAATAGTAACATACCTATATACAAACATACAAACATACCTCCATGAATAGAAGAGACAAATTATAATAAATCTATTCTAACAAGCAGCAATCTTTTGGTTCCGCATATGACCACCCAACGGGCTAGCCAGTGTGCTGCCGTGTTTATCATACATTCATATGTTTTAATGAAATCAGAGTTTTCATAATAAATACTTACAGTACTGTCCAGTGTCGACAACAGAGATGTTAGCTTGGCTCTGGTTGGAGCCTGACAACCCTAGAACACAAGTTATCAACAAAAGTTAATAAACTGTATTTCTGAGGTAACCTTAAATTATATCTTAATCGTAAACTACTTATTAAATAATTGAGTCAATAAAAAATACATACAGACAACATTTAATTCGTAACAAACAATTTTTATTAACAAACTATGGTCTAAGCAAAGGAAGCATAAATAACAGATTGCACAACTGGCTTTTTAAAATTCAGGGGGGGGGATCTCATTAAATGCATACAATAGAAATAAAAAGAGCAAGCAAAAAAATGAATCCTCCTGAGCAAGCAAAAAAATGAATCCTCCTAACTAAAGTAAAACAGTCCAACTCAATCACAATTGCCTGTTTTACTAGGGTAAACACAGATGTACACTTTGCCATTTTATCTGGACAAAAATTGGTAAGAATGAGTGATAACAACAGCTTTAGCAAACCTGAGGAACTTTCGATGCTTGAGGTAAAAACCAGAATCTGTTTATCTTGTACATTATTACACAAAATTTAAGATTGGTTATTTAGCCATGTGTACATGTGGACTGCACCTGAGACAACTGCTCAAGCCATTCACAAATGTTTCAAATACAACATTTAAAGGCAAAACTTTTATTCAAAACACATGTGCAAGCCAAACTTTACGGGTCACTAAGTGAATTACAAAAGTCCATACTAGAGACAGCATTGCAAATATAGATAATCTATTTCAAGTGAAGCAAAAAAGATTTCTTTTTAAAAAGCTGATGCAGTCATCATTTAAAATATTTTTGTGCATTCTCCAACAGGAAGGATGGCTACAGTGTACTCGTTGCTGCCTTTGGAAATATTATGTGGTGAGGCCCTGGTTGTTTCCATGGTGCGATTTTTGAACCATGACAGCGTCTTTGTTTGTTTTTGGTTTTTTTTTAAACAAACAACCTACCCATACACCGCTCACATACCAACCCCTCCCACACAAACTACTCACAACCAACCTTTATACTGACTGTATGAACAACATGTGGGACTGATTACCTCCAGAATCAAATCAAACTCTGACTTGACAGCCCTCAAGTGTTGCACGATGGGAAAGATTGACAGCACGGCTGTGAACTCATGCCTGGCAACATTCTTCCTAGCTGCCGTAGCCAGAAGCTGAGAGAGAAAACAAATTGGGAAAACAAATACAGTGAAACTCCAATATTTGTCACTAATCCGTTCCTGAGAGGAGGATGAATATTTAAAAGGTGCATAACAAATAAGTTTTTCCCACAGGAATTAAGTGAAAATGGTTTCATCAGTTCCAAGCCCTGAATTTTGCATATCTTTTTTTTTCAACAGCAACAAAACTTCACACAAAAATCAATCTCATAAATCACTGCAAATACATTTTAATTACATTTTAACCATGATACTTATTATTGCTTCATCACTGTGACACAGATTTACTTGTGCTGATGACGAAAGTATAATGCAGGCCTACATAAATACAATTTTTAAAAGAAATTCACCTTTTGGGTGAAAAAAAAAAACAAAAAAAAACAATCGCTACTATTTGGAAGGGAAGTCATCATCCATTATGACATCAGGTAATGTCACTTCTGGTTATAGATATTGTACACTGATTAACTATAGTGATGCTTGAGTGCCATTTTTCTGTGAAAACCTGAATTTTTGCTTAAGTGGACAGCCATTTCTTAATTTAATTCCTTAACACTTGGATCAGGGCCATCATCCTCATGTTTGTGTTTTTCTTGTCGGATGACTCACCAGCCACGTCAGAGGAAGGATGAATATTGATTTTTTTGGGCGAATATCAAACAGAATTTTTAATGAAAAAATAGCATGAATGTTTAAAAAGCCAAATATTGGCAAATATTTTATTTTCACTGTATATGTATGTGTATATATATACAGTTTCTGTGTCATGTGTGTGTTTCAGTGTTTCTGTGTGTGCGCACACGGGGCGGGCGGGCGCGGGACAATATCTGTATTTTGACAATATCTGTATTTTGACAATATCTGTATTTTGACATGTCATCATCGTATTATAACACTGTGTTTGCTATGTTTCACATAAATTATGGCACACATTAGCAAGGCATTAGAAGCTTTTAAAAGCCTAAACAAAATATGCAACTCTCAATTGTCAAGTTTTAAAACCACGTTATGCATGTCAACATCTAGTTTGTCATACATCATTGTAGCACCAAGTGGTGCAGAACCAGCCAATCTATCTGCCTGTTCATTTCCCAACTCACTGGACAAACCCTGGAGAAAATACCCAAAGGACCCTAACAACACGGGCCCTTTGAAGTGGTGCCTGCCCCTCTGTCAGACCACATCTGTCTCAACCTTTCACAACACGCTCTGTGAGTCAGTTAAAATCACTACATGTGTGTGCAGCTTATTCGATCCAGTTTAAAATTGACATATTTTGGGAAGTAAAGGTGGGCAGCATTATACTGACCACATAACTCAAAGAAAACATTAACTAATCTATAAAAAATATGGGATAGTAACAAAAATACAATGGTTCGAAAAACTGTAAGTTTCTTTCTTGTATGTTTCACAGAAGAAAAAAAACATAGTCGCCAACTTAAAAATCTGAGACAAAGTTAGAAATGATATCAGACTGTAGGAACAACACCATGCAGTAAATTCATTGAGAAACAGAAGGTCAAATGGTTTGGTCATCTAGTAAGAATGCAGCTAGAACATCTACCAAAGCATGGGAAGATGGAAAGATCTAAATTGGAAGCAAAAGGAAGCCCTAGGAGAATATGGACTGATGACATTAAAGAGCTTCTACATTGACATGGAATGACAACAGCCACTGCTGTCTATCAAGCAATGGATGGCAAACTGTTCCTTCCCACAACGCTTAACGGCAGAAGAGGAAACTGACGATGATGATAATGCCTGGATCACATACGCACTGTGTACTGTTCTTGCATGTATGAATATAAGACCACTCACCTCTCCTTCATTGACTAGAGTGTCCAGAGCTTGCTGAATGATATTATCAAAAGCTGTTCTCTGATGCTTCTCTGGGATGATTCCCCTCATCAGATGCGCTTCACTCTGACACAACACATACACATCAAATTATAGTGTTTGTTTGCTTATACAACGGATCAACGTCATGGCAAAAGGGTGGTAACCCATAAGTGCTTCATTCTACTTCTAACTCAAGCCTAAGCTTGAAGAATTAGTGCACAAACTCTGTAGCACCGGCGAGGATCCTGAAATACTTTGGGTAGGTTTTTAACTCCAATTTTGCTCGGGCAGCGCTGTTAGGTTACTTTTTTCAATTTCTAAAGTGCCGAAGTTTTTTTTTTTAAGGATGCAACATTACACATGGTTATCTGATTTTACTACCCAGAGACCAGGGGAAATTACTAGAAGTCCACATAAAAAATTACCAGCAAAATTATAAGTGTACTGCCAATAACCTGCATCTAACAAACATCAGTGGGATTCAGTTTAGGTTATTCTCTGAGTGTTTCCAGAACCCTATTGTGGGAGGGGGGAAAAAAAATACACACTGCCTCCTAAAAATCATGCTGTACTAGTAGACTAATTAGCAGTGTTTTCTTTGAAGTCGGAGTGCATCTGCCTGAAATGTGAGGAACCATCAGTCTGCATACAACTAAGCCAGATATGTAAAAAGGACGTGCACGCAAAGCTCAGGTTCAAAAGTGGAAAAACAACCAAAACTTTCCACCAGAGTTTACAGCTGGTGAATGCAAGAAGTTCATTCAGTTCCTTACAGAATTTCATTAGAAATTATTTTTCTTATTGCATGTATTTGCCACTTTTAGGATGGCATAATACAGTGGATCATGAGCCTGTACTGAGGCAAAATGGACACTAGGTTTTTGTTAACAAGCCTTTGTGTGTGCTTGAAAATGAGGATATTTAGTTGACCTCTTCCTGTTAGTATTGATAATCATAAGCGTTGTAATGGTGCTAAATATAGGAATAGAATATGAGGTCTGATTGGTTACTAGAATTAGGAAAATTCCCAAGTTGCAAGGCACGAGGTTAGCGTGGGAAAGGAAGGACACGAGATATGGCGAGTTTGCTTGGGCAACACAAGGCAGCGAGGGTAAGAATAACTGGTCATTCTGTGACTGGACCCCAGAGCGAAAAGAAGAGAAACTGGATCCAGAGTGATAGGTATGAATGTGGATCTGGATGGAAGCTGAATGAACGTTAGTCCTAAATGGCAAGGAGTGAAGCTGTGTTGAAATACAGTTGAGGACAACAGTTGTGTTCTATGGTGTTAAGTCAGTCGTGAACATGTCAGCGTCCATCCTCTGAAGCGTGGCTTCACAAGAAGTGGCATAAGTGTTCGGCTTTAATGCTGATTCTTATTGCTTGAGTTATACAGAGCATAAACTAGTGAATTGCTGCCAACCTTCGTGGACTGTCATTTGGAAACGAGTGATAGTTGATCGGAAGAGAAGTTTGACTCAACTTGCCCCCTAGACAACAGAGCTAGTGTTGAATCTATATGAGGGAGACTTGAGTACAGAGGAGATTTACAAATATTTTGATTGTCTCTTCTTTTATTTCCTTCATAAACTGGGGATTACTAAAAACCAACAGCACATGTTAAGAGACTACTAGTAACTAGTATCACCTGATACAGGATTACCAGTAACTAACCGCATCTTATTCATTGTTCATTTCAGGATCATCCTAACTGCACATTTGGCATACCCATAATTGCTCAGATCTTCTCTTGAGTAGGTTTCTTAGTGTATTTATGCTGACCATTCCTGTTCTATGTTGGTTGATGTAGCGACTATTAACAGCATCTGTTAAGTGATTACTAATAAATAGAAACATCTCCTATAGAATTACCAATAATTAGTAACACCTGTTAAGTGATTACTATAACTAGTAGCATCGGCTATAGAATTACCAGTAATTAATAACATCTCTTTTGGGATTACCAATAAGCAATAACATTTCCTCTATGATTATCAATAACTAGCAGCATCTTCTCTGGGGAAAAATATTACCTGTAACATTTCTAAAGAGAGAAACAGATGTTACCTGCATCAGCCTCAACAAAGCACTGATCTCATTAATGTAAAGATCCGTCTCCAGGTCAGCAGCTTCTTCTTTGATAGGATCAGGATATGAACCTTGTTTACGGTGACCTGGTGGAAAACAGCCCAGCTTTATATATAAAAAGACAACAAGAAAAATTGGCTATATAATAATACAATGAATGGACGCACTGAGGTGACAAGTCATCTGAATTGGCAAGCGAGTGCTATTTTTCTTTTTCTTGACTCCTTTTGATGCCAGTATATCGAGAATTTGATGCAACACTCATAATCTCAGAGACTAATTAATACTCGAAGGGTGATGTGGTCAACATCACAGTAGGTGTCTTTACTTCCCAGGACTTTACCTGATACTCATTTTGGGCCGACTAACTTGGTGACAAGGTCATTTCTGAAAGGAAAATCTTGATGTGGATTTTAATTTTAACTCACCTTCAGATTGGCAGGCAAGCAGTTTGCTGCAGAGCCACCATACAACAAGTGAGTTAATTTTTTACACACACAAAAATACATGTACACACATATTTTTTTTCATTCTGATTAGAGTTTATTCTATAAAATAACAAAGAAAAGAAAAACCGAAGAATTTTAAATTTGGGGTTGACAAAACTGAAAGACATCAAGGTATCCCACTCCCTCTGTATACAGAGACACAGCAGCTTGTTAAGGAATGTTCAGGTGGGAAAAGCTGAAGTGAAGCAGGCAAGAAGAGAGCCAGAAAAGTTTACAAGCAGCTAGGTAACACTGACAGAGGGACTTGAAAATGCGTGTATTAGAGCATCAAGGCAACACAAGTCAGGTGGTATTCTGAAACCTGCAAATCTTCAGTGCAGAAATGGCACTTAATGCCAATGATGATGCACGCACGCACGCACACATGCAGGCACCCACACACACACTCATGCACACACGTGTGTGTGTGTGTGTGTGTGTGTGTGTGTGTGTGTGTGTGTGTGTGTGTGTGTGTGTGTGTGTGTGTGTGTGTGTGTGTGTGTGTGTGTGTGTGTGTGTGTGTGTGTGTGTGTGTGTGTGTGTGTGTGTGTGTGTGTGTGTGTGTGTGTGTGTGTGTGTGTGTGTGTGTGTGTGTGTGTGTGTGTGTGTGTGTGTGTGTGTGTGTGTGTGTGTGTGTGTGTGTGTGTGTGTGTGTGTGTGTGTGTGTGTGTGTGTGTGTGTGTGTGTGTGTGTGTGTGTGTGTGTGTGTGTGTGTGTGTGTGTGTGTGTGTGTGTGTGTGTGTGTGTGTGTGTGTGTGTGTGTGTGTGTGTGTGTGTGTGTGTGTGTGTGTGTGTGTGTGTGTGTGTGTGTGTGTGTGTGTGTGTGTGTGTGTGTGTGTGTGTGTGTGTGTGTGTGTGTGTGTGTGTGTGTGTGTGTGTGTGTGTGTGTGTGTGTGTGTGTGTGTGTGTGTGTGTGTGTGTGTGTGTGTGTGTGTGTGTGTGTGTGTGTGTGTGTGTGTGTGTGTGTGTGTGTGTGTGTGTGTGTGTGTGTGTGTGTGTGTGTGTGTGTGTGTGTGTGTGTGTGTGTGTGTGTGTGTGTGGGTGTGTGTGTGTGTGTGTGTGTAAAACAATGAATTCTTGGTTCAACAATCAATATGTATAAGTAGTTTTTTTTTAATAAAGAATAACTGAAATTAAAAATGAGACAAATGAGTCTCAACACCTGAAGCGGTAAAATAGGACATAAAGAAGAAGAAGAAAAATTAGTTACTCACTTTGTTCTAACTGTAATAACGATGACGCTTTCTTCGTGAAATTTCTGTAAGATCAAGAACAAATGTTTGTCTGCGTTGGGTTAAAAGCATAAATATAAATGATCATACATATCTATGGCAGAGAAGAATGTCTGTGCACATCTGATCTGAAGCTACCTTACACACAAGATTTAGTAGTTTTTTTCTTTAAAGACTGGGCACTTTAGTTTACCACATAAGATGGATTTCAGAAAAGGTCTAGGAAAATCAAGTGGCTATGTGATATGTATCAGATTCTTTATATAGTCCTGATTTGTTTAAAAATAACTTGACACAATTATTTACTTTGTTCTTTCTTCATTCCCTGTTTTATTTCCAGGGCCCCATTTTGGTAGAAAAAAGATAAGACCCAAATTCAGCCCTTCCCAACAAGCATGTTGTGAAAAAAAAAAAAAGGAAAAGTCCATTTTCCACGCCTTTAGGCGTATAGGGCATAAATGGCTAGACCTATATTTTTATAAACCAATCGGCACAAGATGGGTAATGTGGTCAGCATTTACCTTTCTTTACCTCCCGGGTTGCACCCGGTACCCACTCAAGGCTGGATCGAGCTGGGAGTCAAAGCATGTTGTACTAGGTGATTAATTAGGAGTCTGCTTAAATTGGATGTGTTATGCAGAAAGGCACAAATATTGTGCTCTAGCTGTAAATAGCAACATAATGTACAAACTGCCCTTTTAAGGATGAATATAGAAGATTAGGAAGTATATGCTTCACTGATAACTGAATTACTGACTTCTGTAAAGGAGGTAGTAAATTCACAGCTGTCTATCAGCATACATGGTCGGAAAGAAAAATGGGGACATCAGAGATAGAATACATGAGACATTAAAAAAAAAAAAAAAAAACTTGAAAGCTATACACACTCCAGCAAGAATACATGCAAACTGACCACATGTGTTGTTTCAGTTATCTCAAGGGTTGGATAACTGAAGTATTTCATGTGCTGTTTCATGGACAATTAAATTATTTACCAGGTTGCTGCAAAGGTAACTGAATTATTTACTAGGATATTGCACAGACAGCCTAATAATTTACTTCATTACTGCACTGATAACTGAACTATTTACTGTGTCACTGCACAGATTACTGAATTATGTATGGAGCTGCTTTAAAGATAACAATGAAATAAAATTGATTATTATTTACTAACAACTTACACAAATTTCTTTTTGCTCTTCCTCACTGGAACCTCTTTTGCTGAACGGAACTTTGTACCCTAATGAAGCAAAGTTTAAATACATACTTTTAATAAACAACACTCTGGAGATAAGGGGAAAAATGTATGTATATATATATCATTTATCATATACATGAACACACATTCATACATACACAACATAATTTCAAGATGGTAGAGAAAAGAGTTATAGTAACCTAGGCTAACATGAAATATGTTTCCTTCTTTGTCTTCAAAAGAAGGTAGATTATTCACCTATAAAATCCACTGACTTCAAAGCTGAGAGTCAAACACAAATAGATGTAACATATTTGTATCCACACACACAAAAAAGGAGAAAAAGGCAAGGAATATTATGTTCAAGTAATTTCTTTGTTTCTGTATGCTCTTGTCTATCTCTGTTTACATCTTCCCTGCTCTCACCATTTGTTCCTCGTCTTATTTCTTTCTCTTGCATAACAAGCAAGTGCTATCAGTACAACAGAAGTTGGCTGCAACACACCAAGCCTCTAGTTCTTCAACTGTTGTTCCTCATGATGGTATCCTAATTGTACTGCTTTCTTGTCTCTTGCTCGCACACATTCAACTCTTCTCTTCAGTATATGGTTATTATAAGAGTGCCTTCCCTTTTAAAATGGCCACATTATTTTATTTTTATCTTGGACAAGAAGGTCAGTTTATTACGATCAGACAGAGAATCACAGCAACAGTATCTACTGATGTTTACCCCAGCAGGAGAGTTCTGGCTTCCAAAGGACAACTGACCGCTGTTGAAGGAGCTTCCACTTGATGATTTCAGATGTTCTTTTAGTCTAGGAGAGACATATTGAAAAGTGTCAGTTACTCAATAAGAATATTTTGATCTGACTATTGTCATGTACTGGTATAGACCTTATCATTATCATCATGATAATCATCATCATCGTCTAGCACAACCTTTACAGAATGTTACTAACATCAAAGCCTCTCAGCCACTTGAATTTGCACTTAATGTCATATATATATATATATATATATATATATATATATATATATATATATATATATATATATATATATATATATATATATATATATATATATATATATATATATATATATATATATACACACACACACACATATGTATATATATATATATATATATATATAATCATGTAGCAGGTCCTTTGCAGAACGTCGCTCTCATCACAGTCTGCCTGAAAGAAACTCGGTCTCTCGCCAGTTCTCCCGCCTCATGCACTTTTACACTCAAGGAGTCACTTATATCCTGTGCCCATCGTTGTGTCAGTCGACACCTGCCATTCCTTCCTGGTACCATGAATTCTGCTATAATTTTTTTCCAATCCGTCGTGGCGCTTGATATGACCAAAATATTTCAGCTTCCGAGAAAGGATGCTGTTTATTAGCCAATCTTCCTTGATGTTCAGATCTTCTAAGATGTCAATATTTCTCATCTTCTTTGTAAATACATACATAAGTTAATTTGTAAATAGTTTATTTCTATGTAATATTAATCTATGAAGGATTTTTTTTTCTGGAATTCCAAAAGGGCTGTAAAATAATATTTTTTATTTCAAGGATTTCTGGGTGTGGAATTCCAATGAGGTCATGTTTTTTTTTTAAAGTGTTCCTGGGGCAAGAGGATTATATCCCTAAGGAAACAAATCTTGAGACACAGCCAGTCTAAAATGAGCATCAAGCCCATAATTGTGGTGCAGAGTTTGCGCACGGAGCCGAGTCTCCGTTTTGTGTAATCTATGCAGGAAAGAAGACTGGAGCACTTATGTAGATGACCGCTATTGAATAAAAGTGATCCATGATGAAAATTTTCAACAGACCCTATATGTGAATATGAGTCTGCATTTTTTTTTTAAACTACCCACTCAAGCATGCATGCAAGCACATACATTATTATTATTATTCTGTATTTTGCTGATAAACATAGGTAGTCAAGTTCCACCATCTCATATGATTATCAGAATCACAGATCAAGTCAGTGCTCTTGTCCTGCCCCCATCTATACGGCCAAGTCATCCAGGTCTTTCTGCCTTCCCCTTGCCCTTTTTCTCCCATCAATCTTGCTAACCTTTTTCTCCCATCAATCTTGCTAACCTTTTTCTCCCATCAATCTTGCTAACCTTTTTCTCCCATCAATCTTGCTAACCTTTTTCTCCCATCAATCTTGCTTATTTTAACAAAGTTTTTTATAATTTAAAAGCAAGCAATGTCACGGGCTTGTGAAGTATCAGACTTTCACACAAGGCCTTGAGGACAAGAGAAAAGGATGTGAATGAAAACAGTATCGGTCAACAGCAAGATCACTGAGGATACAGAGTGTGAAACAAAGGAGAGTGAGGCCTGCTACGAACAGGATGCACTAACCCTGCAAGAGAGCGACTCAGTATGAACGATCTAGCTGTCTGGTACGTGCGAATAAACTCAGTGCTCTTTCCGTACTCTGTCAGCCATTTTGAAATGGTTCTCAAATCTTGTGTGACCTTCTCTGACAGCTGTTCCAAGGCTAAATCTGTGTCTGCTCCAATTGGAGGAAGCTCTGTGTTCCAAATAAATGGAGAAAAAAGACATTTTGAAAACAAATTTTTTTTTTGTTTTAAAGACGATGAAGCCGTCACCATCATGTACCAAGAACCACATGCAATTATATCTCTTCATAACATTTATCCTCCATGCTCTAAGTTCCACAATTGATCATCTTCCTTGCTGCTCTGTCAATTCACCTAGCATTTTCTCTCTTTGTCAACCTTTATATGAAACACCCGTAATCTTCCCAGTTTTCACAAGTCTTTAAAAGATTAGTTGCGTATCCTTTACAGGACGTAGCAGAACCAACTCCAGCAGCCCTGGCTGTTGTGTGGTTTAAACGCTCCATATTTGCCATTGCTTTCTGGACGGTGGCTGATTGTCGAAACCAACGCAAGGCGATGGCCCGCAGCTGGGATGCACCCCCGGTGTGACTTAGCCACAGAGATGACTAACAAGTTGTGTGTACTTCATGTGTAGGATTGTGGTTTGTGGGGGTGTGTAAGGGGGGGGGGGGAGGAGGAGAGGTGATAAGGCTGGAAATGTAAGGTCACAAGGTTAGTTCAACAAACTGTACTTATTTCTGCCCCCAACAGAGAAAAAAACTCCGCTTCTTACCAAGGACTGAGCCTGGGTCTAACGCATGAGAGCCCAGCACTCTCCAGTTTTCACAACTTCCTCTATACCCTCTCATCTCATAATCTGACCCAAACAAATTATGAGAGACTTGTTCTAGTATGGAAACACTAATGTATAAGGGGTAAAATTAAATAGAGAGTACAGTAAAACTTCATTAACATGAAATCGCTCAAGATGAATACTGGGTTAACATGAACACCATTGTGGTCACAGCACAGATGTACTTTTAAACATACATTATTAGTCCTCAGTACGAACTATTTTTTTTTAAATATAAACTGTTGACTTTTTGGTCCATTGGAATTCATGTTAATAAGGTTTTACTGTAATGGCATATTCAAACTGAATGATGTATTACCTTCCTCAGCCTGTCTTATCTAATATTTCTCACCAAGGCTAATTTCTCTATTCTATTTCTTGTAGTTTTGATGAGTCATCTGGTAATCCTTTTTTGTTGTTATGACCTTGCAGTGTTTCCACATAACAGACGCATATTCTATTACACAAATACATGGGAATCATATTAGCTCATGGCGATAGAGAGTGTGACTGACTAAAACTTCTTGCGTTAAGAAAAGTTTTTTATAGTTACAGAGTGGGATTTCTGAATCATTGTTGCCATCATATTTATTTAATGTACTTCTAGTCAGAGGCTTATCTCTTAATCCGTCTGCAAATAAATTTCTCTTTCATTCATATTTCCTTCTAGATTTTTCCCTACCATTCATGACAGCCCATGGCATCCTCTTCTCACAAATCCACCTTAACCCTACCAGACCGCTGGCCCGGTTTTCCGGGAATTTCTTAACCTGACGCCATACCGCTGGCCCTAATTTTCGGCTTTTTGCGTAGTTTGGGAAAAAGATGCATCACGGACTTAAAATAACCACCCAGTCATTATCAATCCTCTTTGTTAGACATTGCAAATGTCTGCCGCATGTGTTTGGATTATATTTGTGTTGTTTTACGCTGAAAAATTCTGAAAATTCACAATGAAACGAGCGGCTGATGAACCAAGTTCTAGGCGTTTCACAGTCCAACAGGTGATCGATACTTTGGTTTATTCAGACTCTGCGGGGTGATAATTTCATAAAGAATGCGTTCTTGAAGTGACTGTCGGTGAGAGCGTGAATGATGAGGAAAATCATGAAAATTATAAATTTTGAAATTGATCGATAGTAGGAGAAGGGGGTGTGTCCCTCAAATGGCAACATCTGGTGTTGGCTTTGTAAAACAAAGTTGATCCTGATGAGTGGATTTGCACACAAAGGTGGAATATTGGCGCTAGATAAAAGGTAAGCCTATTTTCTACAATGTGACTGTCTCCAAGTTTCATCATATTCTAGCCACTTGTTTTCATGTAACTAATATTTTTACATATCATGGAGCTCAGGTTATAGGGACAGTTAGGTTCAGGGCCTTAGGTCTGGTAGGGTTAATACCTGCATCATTCATGACCCACTAGCACACATCTTTATAACATGGTAGAGGTTGACCTTGAACCCCTCTGTAATTTACAAGTCTAGTAATCCTTTGTAGCTGCCGTGGTGTAGCGGCTAGTCACCCGCCTGCTAAATGAAAGGTCATGGGTTCGAGTCCTGACAGAGCCAGATTTTTATCAAAAATTTATCGTGGCTCCCAGGTTGACCCAGTCTTGAGTGGGTACCAGGTATAGTCCTGGGAAGTAAAGGAGGCCAGCATGATGTTGATCACATCACCCACCAGGTTCTGACTGGTCTATAAAATATAGGTCTTGACATATATGCTCAAAATGCCTGAAGGTGTAGAAAAGAGTCCTTTCCTTTTCAACTAGTAATCCTTGCAGTTGTCAATACTAACAAATTTTCTGTTGTCAATTCTTTTCACACAATTCTTCCAAAATTGTATTACCATTGCCTCTAGTTTTATAATAATTGTGTTACTCGCCAAGTATTTTAATCTATAACAACAACAGACAAAATAACATAAAATACTTTTTTTTTTTAAACTTTGTAAGTGTACATCCAAAATGAGGTTACATTCAACATTTTCATGTCTTTTACATTTGCTGCTTGCCATAATAGTAAAATACACACTCTAAATCTACAGTGTTAACATAATAATCGAAAGATTATGATTTACATGAAATTCTTAAAATTACTAAATAATGTAATCAATTCATTAATCTTATGCAAAAATACTGCATTAGTAAAATTTAAACAATGAAAGATTTTCATCATGAATTCAGTCGGATGAAAACATCAAACAGTGTCAATACAGGAAGGCTATGAAAATGATGACAGACAAAAATTCAGCTGAAAGTAATCATTATAACGTGAGGTTAGGCAATAAAAGAAAAGGTTTACGATTCTCAAACTGTGATATAAAGTACCAGTACCAGTTTTCTTAAAGAAAAATCTCAAGTTTTGTTTGCTTGCTGTTGTTGTTGTTTTAGAGAATATAGTGATATTTGACAATTTATTGGATGCCAAGTGGATAACAAGTTTTAAAAAAAAACAACTTCAAATGTTCAAAATCAAATCAGGCTACAGTGCACAAAAATAAGGACCCTAAACATGTGCATATTTGCTGCATGTGTTTAATCTATTATACACAGTGAGATAGTCACTGGTGCTATGGAGCATGTTCAATGTGGTAACAACCTTATGTGACCTATGAGGGAGACTGGAGTACTTCTAGGGTTAGCTCTACTGCAATGAATCTCCAAATTCAGCCGAAAGAATTGAGTGAATGAACCTAGCATCCTATGCCATATGTTCGGCAGGCATAAAAATGGTCCTTTCCCTTACTACATTACTATTATACTTCCCACAGAATTGATCTCAGTTACTTATGATTGTCTTACTGGCATCTATTATGTAGGATAATGGGGATAATGATGATGGCAATGGTGACCGGATTTAAGAGGAAGAATTTTAATGAACAACTGTTGTAGCTATATGTTCCACATAGAACATTAGATAATGAGACTGATACCGCTAATGATGATGATGATGGTGATATCAATGATGATGTCAGTAATGATGCTGATGATGTCAATGAGGATGATATGGTACAGGGAAGGTCTCAGAATAAAAGGGAAGAAAAAAAAGGTATATTTTTGAAGCACACACTGGGACAAAGAAACTTTATCAGTTCAAGAGCAGGTTTCAGGACCATATCTAAGGCAAATATAAGAGGCTAGGTAGGGATATGTGCCTCTAGCTACCCTTGGTGTGCAGTCTCTGTCGGGTAACAAAAGCTTTACTCATACACTCTTTGCAGTTCTGCTGATGCAGGATGCGCAGTTGGCTTTTTCTCATTGTTGCATGGCATCCATCTTGAATTCAATTGAATCATTGTAAAGAACTACATTCAATGTATGAAGATGAACAAGGTTGAATTATTCCAATCTGATAAACATGGTGTATTCAACAGTACAAAAACGTTTAATTTTATTATCCGTTTCACCAGTTTCAGTTAATCAAGATGAACAAGGCTGAATTTCTCCAATCCTATAATATTGTGGCTTCAATATGGATATTACAATGTTGATTTTTAGTTTTCTTAGTTTCAACACATTCAGTGTTTGAAAAAAACACATGGTATAATTGCTCCCAAATAATTAATAACATGTCTCCCCCCCCCCCCCCCCCCCCCCCCCAAAAAAATTTAGATAATAACAGCTTTCATAGACGGCTTCTGCTAATTTGTTTGTATCAGGCTATCAGTTTTGGTTCTAACATTATAAAAACAGATCAGCCAGTAGTTTCACAATTTCTGTGCTAATGAAAGCCACACAAAATGTCCATCACTGTCCCAAGGTCAAACAGATGGCAGTCCTAGCAAAATCCAACATCTCGCACATGGATACAATTCAAAAGCAGGCGCTGCCATAGATGCCAACACTTACAGTCTATCTCTAGAACTGCGTTTCACCGCTGATGGAAGCAGCACAGAAGACATGACAAATCAGCAGGCATAATGCACAGTTAAAATTCTGTGGCAACCAGCCACTCATCACTTTTTGAGTTTGCAGTTAACACATATCTCTGGGAGCAGAGGCATGCATAGGCAATTTTACCTTCAGTAGTTTGCCACTGCTTCTAAAAGTTTGGTTCTCAAAATCACTGTCGAAATCCAGACAAGACTAAATCGCCCACAGCTGGGATCGAACCCAGCCAGCATCCCTCAATTATCAAGTGCACTCCTAACACCTAAGCCATAGACTCTGACACGAAACCAGTGCAAACTTCTTTACTATATGATCAAATGTTGTCAGTTTCACACTATATTTTTAACAATCTATCCATTTCATCACCTTTCTGCCTCGCACACTTCTTCCCTCAAACTTCCTTCTTCCCATCTTTTTTGCTCTAAGTTTGATGTGTGAATTCATCACAAAATTATGCACACAATGAGTACTGAAAATATGGAGACAGCTGAAGCAGTGGAGGATGGTTTTTTTTCTTTAGAAGAATGTTGAAAATATTATGGACAGGACAGAACAGACACTGGATCTGAGATGTCTGTGCATTCATATAAAAACATTTAAACACAATGAAAACAGAAATCTGTAGCTCCAACGATGATCTCCAAAGATCTCCGTTGAAAAAATGAATCATAAACTGAACAACACAGTCCATGAAGCGACCCATATTTTTCACAGTGCAAGGCAAACGCCTTGACCACTATAACATAGACAGTTAATGAACATTCTATGGGTGATGTGGTCAAAATCATTCCACACATCATTACCTCCCAGGACATTCCCTGGTAGCCATTTTAGTCTGAGGCAACCTTGGAGTCAAGGCTTCTGCTTATCTCCAGTTCCATATTTTCAGTGTAATATCATTTAATTAAGTGCCGATTGGTGTGTAAAAATATGGGTGCTCTTCCCATACACCCGATGGGCCTAAGGCGTTAAAATGGATTTTTACTTTACTTTACTATGTATACATCCATCTCTTCTATCCTGATACTGTGAAAGACAAACAGGTTCATCGTAGCTACTGAATCCCTTGCTGGTACACATAGTGGTGAATCTGTAGAACAACTGCAATCAGAGCTAACACATGTCTTGAAACTGACATACACAGTTCTGATATACAGCAGGAGAAATGTACCTAGCTTAAAAGTGTAAAAGAGATAAAAGACACCAATAAATCAGTAGTAAGGACACTGCTTTTGATCACCAGAAGTCTTCTGTTGTGCTTGCTTCATGGGGGAATTTATACAACTATTATCTGATCGACACAACAGTTTCATAAAACAGCTGCAGAAATAACACTTTACTGTTAATTGTATTATGACATAACAATCCAGTTATCCCCATTCCATATAAACAGAACAGTCCTATGATTCTTCCCACTTCTATGTTTTTGTCTATATGTCAGTAGACAACGAGAAAGAAAGAATATATACTAAACTCCACAAACTTACCTTCATCTGTATTCAAAAGATCCAAGATAACAATAGGAGGCACAGGGCGGCCATGACGGTTCAGTAGAGATTTGAACTCATGCTGAAGAGCTTCTTTTCCATCTTCAAAGATTCTTTCCTATGTAAACCATAATCACAACTGAAATTAATAATCAGTGACAATATTATTTATCCTCTGAAGAGAATAATGTTCATCACAACAGTGGGAGTCACCATTGTGTGCATCTAGATGTTCACCTGCAGATCCAAAGACTGTGGGTTTGAATTCAAACCCAAAAACCTTTTGTTAAAAATGACCTTGGCCTCCAGATTGACCCAGCCTTGAGTGGGTACCAGGTAAAAGTCCTGGGAAGTGAGGATGGTCAGCGTGATGTTGTTGACCACACTATCCACAATGTGCCAATTCGACTAAAAAATATAGGTCTAGAAATATATGCTATTATGCCTGAAGCGTGGAAGAGGGTCCTCTACTTTTACTTACTGGCGTCAATGTTCATTACAAGTGACAATTCTATTTATTATTGTGACAGTAATGGAAAATACCAGTGATAAAGCAATTTATTCTTGTGACAATAATATTAACTATTGGTAATAGTTTGTTAATATTTCAAATTTGTTTATTCTTCTTCCAGTCTCCCAAATAAAATTGAATATTCCAAGTTTTGCTGTAACTTCTCTTGACTTCTCAACATGTTCTAGTGCAATGAAATCTAATCTTGTCATCCGCTCGTTGGCACAAAGCCTGGGCAGTATTGTAGTGACCATGTGATGCCTGGAGAGCATGATCGCTCTCTCTCTCTCCCACTCTCTCTATCTCTGTCTACCTGGTTTACTCCAAAGAAAAGGTAACACCAATAAATCCAGAAAAAAGCATGCTGCAGGAGCTGCTGAATCAGAAGAGCAGTGCTCCATCTGTCTGTGTTGGAGATCTGCTCCTTGGCCAGCTGCCAACTAAGGCTTAGAAGCTGGTAGCCCTGCCAAAATATTGAGTTTTCCTACTATTTCCTCTTTGTATTTATATTCTATTTTAATACCTCTATTTATGCCTAAGTTGCTGCCGAAATATATGAAAACGATTGTATAAAACATGATAAATGCAAGCAATACTTACAATTTCTTTCATCTCCTTGCTATTGGGGCTGTATGTTTCAAAATATTTTTTAGCTTTTAAAACTTTCTCCAGATATGCCATGTAGGTCTCCAGATCACTGGCTGCAGGCCTGAGGGTAAAAAGTAACGTAAGGCAATCTATCAATCTGTGAAATTATATATCTGTTTTTGGTCTTCTTTTGTTTTCTTTATGAGTCAGCATGGGTAAGGCAGCAAAAACAGTCAGCAGCTTAACAAAAAAGAGTTTTGGAGGACAGAAAGCTTACAGTTAAAACAAAAACCCTTGTCTATTATTCTTGTGTTCTCAGCGCTCTTCTTTACAGCAGTGAAGCATGGTCAACTTATTCACACTGGGATAAATGATTAAATATGACTAAATAGTTTTCACATACCATACTAATGAGGAATACTTGGCACTGAGTGGCAAGACAAGATCACAAACAGTGTACAATTGAAAAGAGCAGTTATTGCAGCAGTTTTCTCACTGCTCAGTCTTCGGGAGCTCAGGTGGCAAAGAGACCGTCATCAGGAGTGCAATTATAAACTGAACTAATTTACTGCAACAGTCACTAAGTTTTAATCTCTCTCTCTCTCTATTCCCCCCCCCCCCCCCCCCACTTCACACATACATGCACCCATGCAGTGAGCTCAGGCATGCACGCATGCATGCACATACATACACACACACACGCATGCACACACACACATGTGTACATACCCTTCCTTGACTGTGGCTTCCACATCTTTAGCTGTGTGGTAGTAGCTAAGTACATTGTCCAATGTGTGCATGGTTTTTTCTATATCTGTACAAGCACACTTAAGGAAGAATAACTCCCTTTTGACATTAATAGGGGTCACTACACACACGCATATTTCAATTTATGACAAAAATAAAACTTTTTAAATTTATTCGTTTTTGTAATGTTCGGCATTTGTAAAACAGATTACACACAAGGTTTGTGTCATTTGTAAACAATTAAGCATTGAAAAGTTAATAGTAAAGACACCACCCCATGCGCTTTTTTAAGATAGTCCATTTTCTCACAATTCTATTTCCTGTGGTGTGTGTAAAATCCTAAAATCTCAGGTAATACAAAGACTAGAAACATAAAGACCGGTGTGGATACTCCTTAAACAATAATATAGGGACAGGTCTATTTAAAAGTAGATTTAGAAAGGCTTTGTTTTTTAAATCTGATGTAACATTTTTTATTTTTGGGGTAACCTTTTCAACAAACCTACAGTTTAAAATTCTAAGAAAAATATTTAGAAACACCTTTAAAGTGAAACACCTATACGTGTAGCTCAACATAGGATTAAGGTTCATAATTCCATCATCTGTTTCTCAATATCTGTTTTTGAAATTTAAGGATTCTAAGTACATGGTTTTTTTTTCTCCCAAGATGGTGGCTGTTTCCATGGCAACCATGATTATTTAAAAACTTGAAGTGTGCAAATGTATTAACATATATTCCTACAAAGGACCATTTTGAAATAATTGGTCTAAAATTGTAAATCCCAAAAAACATTTTGGGTGTAGTGACCTCTTAACTCTTTGAGTCCCAAGGAACGCATGATATGTTCATAGGTTCCTACCTAGAAGCCCAATGAACGCATGATGCGCCGATTTTATTACTTTTTTACTACCACCTGGGCCTGTGATGCTAAACCCTCTGGGACTCAAAGTTATTATCATTTTTTTAATCTATTTAAAAGAAAAGATTTAATGAAAGAAAGAAAGAAATAATGTAAATTAGTTCAGAAAATACAAAAGCATGTAGCTCTTGTAGGGCCAATTGATTATTAACAACATGCTACAACATGCAAAATCAACCTTAAAGAAAAAGGGAGATAAATGAGGATGGGCATGGGTGATGAATAACAAAAAGGGGGTATAGGAAAAGAAAGATGAGATGAGAGGAACAATAGGAGAAGAAAAAGAGAGGGAGATAAAGAAAGGGCGGGGGACTAGAGGACAGGATGTTAGGTGATGTGAGATAAAGGGAAGAGGTAGTGAGAAATTATCTGAGACACTAATGTTCATTCATTTTTTTCCATGCTCATATCATAGTCTACCTCTTGCCTGTCTTTAACCTGCCCACTTCCACCTCCACCCCCCTCCCCACAGTAACACACTTATCTCTATTTTATTCCTTCATCAATTGTCCCTTTACTGTTAGTCTCTCTAGAACTTCCACACTAGATTGTTTAGGCTTCTATGAAACTATCTATTTATCTGTATTCCGTGTTGCCAGGCCCCCGTGGGAACCTGTTTCTAGGATGACCAGTGAGAGGTGTGGATGGGTCATGACCCTTGTGCTGGCCCTGGTGCACTACTATGTGCAGTTAAGCACCTCTACATCCTATCATAGCATTACAAGATAAGGACATATTTCATGCCTTTAGCATCTTAGACATAGTCTGCTAGATCCAATTTTGAAAACAAAAACTGCTTCAATGTAGATCCGAATCCTAGTCCTTCGGAAAGGAATCTTGTATCCTAAAATTAAAATAGTGCTAAACAGTTCAGATAAAATATACTTCTGTCATTATATTTTCAGGAAGTCTGCAACAGCCAACAAGGATACTTTCTTGCCTTCTCCTCAAATTCTCAGTTTCGTTGTACACAGGAACGATTGTCTTCTCCAGATTCTGCAGCCTTTCTTCAAAGCTGTTAAGAATGTTGACCATGTGCTGGGTGTTGGTGCCATATCTGTTCAAGCACTGACGCAGCAGGTTCAGATGTGTCTCCTCCTGTAACAACAACATATAAAGCTTTTACTAACTGAGTATCAAACAATTCATCATGTATTTCAATGGTTCAACTAATGTGACACATCAAAGTAATACATTCCCAATATGCATTTGAACAAGGAAGACACAACAGATCTCACAATTTATTGCCTGTCATATGTCTCTGTATCTGGTCAGGTGCAACAATTTATATTAACATAAAGCAAATAAATTATTCCTTGTAACTGAAGCACAAAACTGACTCCATTCAAATGCAGTGTTTCATCTGAGCAAACAGGTTAATGGTCATTTCCTTCATCTGTAATTCTATTACAATATCCAAATATTCTATTTTCCTCATGGTATTGGATTGCAGTAATATTAACAATGAAATATCTCAAACATGAAGAACAGTGATGGCCAACCTTTTTGGGTTTTTATTTCAAAAGGTCTTTAGTGGTCATCCTACAGACTCTGTAGAGGATGTTAATTAATAATAACAATTTCCCAGACAATATGACACAGAATATCATGGGCTAACCTTCACAGCTTGCCAGTAAACTAGAAGACCACAACCGGCACACTGGGGTAGAAGAAACATTACCGACATAGGCATGATCCCAGCCAGACTATCCTGTGATGAATCACGGCTTGATTACATCCCAATACATCAATAAATGGTGCCAGAACATAGCTTACAGTGGTTCTCAACTAGCTAATATGTGTGGACCCCTTTTATTTCTGAAGATCTGCTAAGGACCTTGTGATTTTTTACACTGAAGAAATAATTTATAAATATTAGAAATGCAAAAAGGATTGCATTCTAAAGATAAGGGTTTTTCTTTAGCAAATAAATACCATGGACCTCTTAAATGTGTTCTCTGGATAATGAAACGAGAAAAACTGAATTACATAGCATGCTCAGTTCTTCAAAAGTAAAGGGGAAGAAGATCTGAAGGACTGACCATTTGGACATGATAGGAGGTTGGGAAAAAATACCAACTTTATTTGGATAGATTAAAGTCCATTTCAGTGCTTATAAGAACCAAAAGATAGGAGTTAGAAAATCAGTTTTAGTGAGGACTCACACATGAATCAACCAACTAAAATAATACTGGGTTAACATGTTACCTAAAGCTTCTGTATTCTATGACAGAATCACTCACATGGAACTAAACAAATTACAGTGTATCAAAAAGTGTAGAAAAGACATTGGCGTTGGACAGGACACATGCTGAGAAAACTTGAGAACAATCTGACTAGAACATGTTGAGAAAACTTGAGAACCATATAATTAAAATGTCTTCAGACTGCAACCTACAGGGGCACAGAAATTAAGGTAGACAAACCCACACACAAAAAATACAGAAGTGAGTTAGAGAGAAGTTAAAAAGATGGGGAAGGATATGTGGTGAGCAGCAAGCGATAGCAAAAGATGGGATAACTGACTTGAGCTTTTTGGTTGCCTATGCTTCACTGGTAAGGGGTAAAATTAAGAGAGAGAGAGAGAGAGAGAGAGAGAGAGAGAGAGAGAGAGAGAGAGAGAGAGAGAGAGAGAGAGAGAGAGAGACTGACAGAGATACTGAATAACTATTTACTGACAGTCATTTGCTTGTGTCACAAACTTTATTTTGTATCTACTTCCTGGACAGTAGGGAGTAGTAGGTGTAGGCTAACCCTTACAGGTGCCATAATTATAATTTCTTAGGAGGTTAAACGGGGGGATCTGGGTTATGCCCTATGGACTATCACTATCATCCAAGATGCGACTCTTGTTGTTGCTGGCGTGGTTAAAGTTATATCTTTAGGAGGCAGACACCGGACAAGAAAAATAATAGACACTACTGAAGTTCTTCTCTTTATCGATTGGATCGGATAGCATTATGACATACTTTAAATGATTTCATTTAAAAGAAATCTTGCCTTCTCAAGTTTCTTATCAATGTCGTGTTTCAGCTCAGCTATTTCGTCAATCATGTTTGTGTGTATCCAATAACCAACTAGATCGGCGCCAGTTTGGTTTGCAAAAATTATAGTAGACAGACGGGAGGCGATGTTTTGTTTGCTTTTCTTTTTGTACCGGAAATACAATGTTTGGTGTGAACAGTAATCTCCCCTGATCAGTGTTGAGACTTTTCTTTAACAAAAAATATCCAAAACGGTGTCAAAAAAGATCTAAAAAGATCTAAATCTGCATGGAAAAGATCTAGAAAAAACATCCAAATTGAAAAAGTAAAAAATTACATAGCTTTTGTTATGACTTGTCTTGTCTTGTCTTGTCCACAATTGCCTCACAGCGTAGTGGGGAGTCGCAGTTTTCTATCCTGGGCCAGGTGTGTTGCACGTGTTGTTGTTAGTCCGTGTTGCTTCAGGATCTCTGATATATTGTCTATCCATCGTACTCTCGGTCTGCCTCTTGCTCTAGGGCAGTAGTACTGTTCGTTGTATGCTCGTAGAGACAGTTGGTCGGTTTGCATTCTCATCAAGTGGCCAAACCACTCTATTTGTTGCTTCTTTATGTATTGCAGGCATGGTGTGGTTCCTACAATTGCTCTAATGTTCTTCTCCCTGTGACATTGGCAGCCTTACGTAAGCATCTCATTTCGCACGTCGTTATCTTTTTCTCCTGTGCTCTTGTTAGGGACCAGGTTTGGCATTGGTAGCAGAGGGTTGGTATAAACATGCAATTTATCAGTTGTCGTTTTAGTGCCATAGTGATGCTTGGGTGTTTTAGCAGTGGGGAGAGTTGGTAAGTTACTGCGTTCGCCTTTTGACATCTTGCCTCAAGTTTCCTATCAATTCTTCCATCATCTGTGAAGATGCTCCCCAAATATTTAAATTGCTGCACTTGTTTGAGTTGTTCGTTGTTAACTTGAATAGTTAGTATATTAGGTGTTCTACTTATTTTCAGAATTTCTGTTTTGGTGATGCTGATCTTCATGTTATATTCGTTGCAGACTGTGTTTAGCGCATTTACGTGTATTTGAAGTTCTTTTTCGTTTTCATGTATTATGCTTTGGTCGTCTGCGAAAAGTATTTCGTTCAGTTGGGGATGTACTTCTTCATGATCGGCGTGTATGTTTTCATTATACTGATCTTTTTAAACTAACTCTGACTCACTGCTTGGTGTAGTTAACAGTTCGCTTATCATTACATGGTTTGCTGCTGTTGTTATTCTGTCCATGTATATATTGAATAGTAATGTTATGACTTACCCTACATAATCATGTCCTTACCTTCACTGATGTCTGCCTCACAAGATCCACAGGATAAACTTAGCTTGGATAATGAAGTTGAAGCTTCAGATCCAAAATGACCCTGGTATGCTTTAGATGTTCAAATTTCTCTATAAGTGGAACAGTAGGCTTATTTCTCTATTCTCATCAGGCCGAATTTTAATGGCACGATAGCATTTAAGAGGTAAAATTTCATCCTGTTTTTTAGGTTAGATTTGAAATAATTCCTAGCACTTAAAACTCTTTTTTTAGTCAGCATTTGAGTGGGGTATTATCATGGCAGACATGGTCCTTTAAAGAGCTTACAGAATGGACTGTTTGATGAGGCATCTTTAAATTGTCTCACTTCACTCCAAAACGCTTTAGTTTCTGTTTTGTTTGTCCATTCAGCTAACTTTATTTTGGTTAACTGATATTCTGCTTCCGCGACACTATTATCAGTTGCCCCTAAAAATTTCACAACTTTACAATATTTAGGTATGTCCTTTTTGGCTGAAGTATGTTGCTCACAGAAAAAAGTGAAATATTTTTTAACACATCTAGATTTTCAGGAAGTCTCTGCTTCAATTGCTTCAATAATGAGATAAGGAAATCTTGACAGCGTTTTATTAAGTCGTTCTCTTCATTTTCTGTTAACAGTCCTTTTGTTTTTAAATCATCAATTTTTGATTCGATTTAATATCCAAGGTGTGGCTTAGGAGCCAAATAGCTCTCTATAGTGCAAGTGAGCAAATCAGCTTTAGAAGTTGGCAACACCAGTCTTTTACAGAGTGAAATAGTAAGGTGAGATCATCAAGTAATTTAACTTTATTAACAAGTTTAGATTCGAACAGTTTATTAACTTTTTGCACTTCCATTAGAAAAGGTTATAAAAAGAGAATGAAAGACAATTTTTTTTTCATCACTGTACATTCCACATAGTATTTCAGCTGTGTAGCACTTTTCACTTTGTCTTGTTATTTCAAAGTGTGTCTTCAACTTCAGCCATTGCTTCATAATTCTTTCAACAGCTGGTTAAATTGATAACCATCTAGTTTTGCAATCTGACAGAATTTTCAGTGGTGTGGAACCATCATTCAAGGCTGTATATAATATATTGTACTGCTGTTGTCTGACAAATGATTTGGAAAACCAGTAAAGTGTTTCAGCAATAAGGTATTCCAAATTCCTTGGTAAATATTTAGATGAAGCATGTGATAATGCTAGCTGCAATGAATGACGCATACATTTTATAAGTATTAACGATGGGTTAGTTTCCTTCAACTTGGCATAAACGCCATTGTTTATACCAACTATCACTGAGGCATTATCAGTACCAATTACAGCCAAATTCTTCAAGCCTAACTGTTTGCTGATTAAAAGTTCCTTCAGTTCCTAAACTATACTTTCTACATCACACTTTTCAAATTGAACTAGTCCAAGATTTTTTACAAATCGATCAAATGGTCACAGTTTGAAATTGCGCAGTGACAAATTAAAAACATTGCGACTGATACTTCAACTTTTGATGATTCATTTATCAGTATAGTTCTGAAAACAGATGTCAGTGGTGTAATATCTTTAAATGAAACTGCAGTTTTATGCCTTTTTAGTCTCTACATGACTCTTTGAGTTTTGTATTTTCGCTTTAATTTCACACTTGCAGTACTTACAACAAGCTTTGGTCATATCTCCAGTTTTTAATTTTGTCATCATGCAACCACTCTTTCCAGATTCTTTTCTCATACTTTACTTTTGGCATGTTGAAAGGTTTTTTCCAAAGTGAAAGCCACATAAGAAGGTGAGCAATTATTTTTTTAAATCACATGAAAAAGAAAAGCAAAGTCAGCACAGTGAGGATATGGTTGAAACAAAGTTAGTATGATTTACGCGCATTTTTATTAATCAGTACCGGGGCTGCCAGATATTTGTGCGTTGACCCCAGTGAGAGTTCAAAGTTCAAGTAATGGCAGTTGTCACAATGTACGTGCCAGACCAAATCAAAAATATTGTAGTAAAAATTTTACACAGTAATTATTAAATTGACAATGAAAGAAAAAAAAAATCTATAAAATATCTAACTTATATGAAAAGTTTCTAGAAATATATTTACGATCTAAATGTCAAAAATAGTATCTAAATGCAATGAAAAAGATCTAAATTTGGATATAAAAGATCCAAAGTGGCAACACTGCCCCTGATGTCGAAACAGATCTATCTATCTATCGGTTCTCCTTGCAATAACGGTCGCTACTTGGACGGCGACGGCCGCTTAGTCGGAGTTCAGTCCCCTGGCTGCAGTGCAATTACGGAGTGGACAAGGCACGAATCACAAAACACAGTGAGTTCAACATGGCGTCTAGACCACGCGCTGAGACTCACATTAGCCTAACCCTAACCCAAAATATCTATATCTCCGTCCATCCATCTATTCAGTGTGTTCGTTCGTTCTATACACCTATGAATGAATCAAGAATTGACATCCCTGCATTCGGTACATTCCCACACATGTTCTGTCACCTCCCGCACTAGCCATCAAAGAGTTGATAGGTGAATAGTACCAGATGCAACCTAATTAATGTTCGTCTGTGTGTTACTTTCAGTATTAATTATCCTCCAGACCATCTGCTCACCTCCTCCCCTCACCCCTCCCTCCCCCACCCCCTAGCCTTTTCCATTCGCTGAACTGATTTGTTTAGATTGTGACCGGTACCATTAGTATTGGAACTCTGCGCTGGCTGCTGAAGATTAGGACTGAGCACGCATGGAAATGCCCCGAATGCTTGGTCTGTTCTGATACACTTCCACTTGATCCCAGAAAACCTTCACAAAATCCGCTTTGTCGAAAAGTAGCTGACCACCCAGAGGAGCCACGGCAGCCAGTCTATCAGCCTGCACATTACCTCGCACAACCGAATTTCCTGGACAGAAAAATCCATGATATATTCCTGATCCGGGTCTTACCAAGCGATACAAGCCACTCTATGCATAGGATACCAGTTTCTGTTTTCTGAAGCATTCTCCGTGAGTCCGGTACAATTACCACACTTTGGGCTTTTAATATAAGTATGAGCACAGGAGACATCAAATCGATGACTAAAAATGTTTATTATAGGAATGGTCCTTGCATTGGAACCACAGCCTAAAGGGCAGACATTCATATAAGTTGTTAAATGTTCCTAAAAGACCAAGTCAGATAACATGAACTTAAAATACCATGCAATCGTAAATTGCTTAGACAACTTGGATGGTTTTGCTTTACTATAAGGAAGAGACCTGTAATGTATGCCAGAGATACAAGACTATAGAGCCCTTTTTGCTGGAGTGTAGGAAATATGAAAACGGAAGGTAACCATTTACTGACCAAATATATCTCTATAAATTACCTATGACGATGGAAAACTTATGCACATAAACAGCCCCAGAGACCAACGTGGCAAGGTAAAGCAGTTTTTTACTAGGAATATAGTCCATATATAGAAGGGTAAGTAATGCTCATGGCATCTTTAAAGGTTTTCTCTAAAGACAGAATCAAGGAGAATAATCAATGATTGTAAACTAAGGAAAAATATATCCACTATGTTTATGACACAATATAAGTAAGATTGTCTCATTATTCATAATACAATTTTTATCATAATCTCAACCCAAATCAAAGCAAAATATGAAAAGTAAAAATTACATTTTTGTCATATAAATAATTACATGTATATAAATTTAAAATAACAAATATATACTCTGAGACCTTAATTAACACTTTAT